AGCTTTGTGTCTGTAAAAAAGTAGGTGTCATGGTTCAGAGCAGATGAGCTGCAAAAACTACCCCCTTAAAAAAGGCCTGTGGAGAAGCTAAGTTGGTGTTGCTCACTGGAGAAAGAGATTGTCTCTGGTTTGGGGAGGAGGCTCAAGGAAGTTGAGTTCATCTTGTGCAAGATGGGTTTGAAATGGAAATATTGGTCTTTGCAGTACCTGGGGAAAGCAGTGAGAAAGTTGGTAGGTGTGTGGAAAAGGATCCTGATGGAGCATTGCTGAGACAAGGCTGTGGCTGGGTGAGAGAGAGGTTGGATCAGCCATAACTTGCACAGGTCATCATTCTCCGTGGCCATGGCGTAGCTCCTGCTTAGACTGTGGGGCTTGGCAGTGTCCCTGTAGCTGCATCTTATCCTGGAGACGTGTGGGAGACCAAGTCCTGCTTCAGCTTGGCGTGCAATAGGTGAGCTTCTCTGTTCCTGGGAGCAAAGGCCAGCAGCAGAGGATTTCCTCTCTAGGGTATCCCAGTAATGTCCTGGTAACTGTGTCTGTGTTTCCCCAGGCCTGTGGCCAGCCTAGCAATCAGTAACTGGATTTTCAATTCCTACCCTGTTCTGGGTAGCAGAGGTTGAGGTCTGGCAGCAGTGATCACATCAATCTCAGATCACTGCCCGAGTGCCTGTGCTGCTCTCTGTGTTCTTGGATCCCAAGCCTCTCTTCTGCAGCAGGGATGGGTTTGGGTTTCTTGCTCTTCTGTGGTGCTGCTGAAGCTACTGTATTTGCACAGAGCAAATTCCTCTGAGATGATGATCACTCTTCTGTTGAAGCACAAGCTGCCAACTTACAGAATTAATTGCCAGTGATCTGCAGTAGCCCTTGACTTGTCCTAGAATTTGCTTTAATAAAAGAGAATAGATCTTTAATGAAAGTGGAAGGACTTGTGTATTTCTCTGAAAATACAGAGGGGGTTGCAAAGCCAGGCTCTCAGAAGGCAGGACAGCTTTTAAGTTATGCAAGCCCAAATCTGACCTCTGTGTACTGCAGGTTCTGATTGCGTGGTTCCACAGATCTGCTTGGCTTGATGCTGCCTTGCTCATTGTGCATAATTTATCTGTATTTGTAGTTGTTAGGTGGGGTTTTCATCTTCCTTTTTGCAGCTCTGAGGTTGTAGTTGTGTGCTTAAGCCCTTCCCCAAGAACAGAAACACAAGTTGTCCAATAGGCTCCTCTGTGGTGCTGCTCATAAATGTCTGAGCAGCTGCAGTTTGTGGTGTGTTTGTGGGAAAGCAGCTCTGTAAATGGGGAGCTGAGGCATGCACAAGGGTACTCAGCTAATTCTGGGTGCTCTTTGGGGAAGCTGCCAGGAACTCTCTCCTCTTAATTTCTGATGTCCATGAAGTGCAGTTCTGTGGCCAAGAGCTCAGCCCATGTGCACACCTGATCTTGGATCTGTCCTTCTGCAAGGGTCTGGCACTAAAGGATGTGAGAAGTTTATTTTAAGGTTTGATTTCATAGCAGCTGTAAAAAAAGCAAGGCAGGAATCACTTTTTTGTCAACTTTGGTTTGCCTCTCCTGAGACTCTATCTGGCTTTTGTACCTTATTTAATACACCTTAAAAAAAACAATCTGCTGGAAAAAACCCCACCCAGGTAGAGAGTTTTTTCAGTGCTGTCATTCAGTGAGTGCTTCTGCCGTGAAAGGAGGATGCTGTGACAAAATGAGGGGCAGGATTAGGTGAATCATCACCAGGCCGTGCTAATGAAACCTTGTCCTCCCTGTGGAGCCCCGGTGGGGAGGCTAGGTCTGCAGACAGGGTTTGTTGGCTGGCTGACACCAGTGACCAGGGGAGCCATGGGCTTTGCCAGTGGCCTGAGAGCAGGTATTTATTTGCTCCAGTCAGTGCTTCTCTTCAGGCTTGTTCCCAGCCTGCCTTCCAGTCCTTGCCTTAGTGGTCTTCATGGACCACTCCTGGTCTGAAGCTCCTCAGCATCCCATTCCACCTCTGCTCTGTGGTGTTGTCTGGGTTTCACATCCTGCTCCCCTGTGTCTGGTAGACCTGCTCCATTCTGGCTTTGTTCCTCACATCTTCTCATCTGGCTGATGTGATCAGAGAGTACTGCTGTCCCTGCCAGTGGTGGCATTGTTGGTGTCCCTGCTTCCCAGCCAGTGTCTCTGCCCTGCCAGCCGTGCTGGTCCCCATCTGAGCCTCTGTGCTGTGGGGCCTGGGGGCATTCCTGGCTGATGCTCTGCTCTGCAGAGGCTTTAATGATTTTCCATTTAACTGTGATTAACCTGACAGGCAGGGCTTTGCTTATTGCAATCTGGAAGAGTGGTGGTGGCAACATTTCTAACTTTGGGATGAATCAGCATTAACAATTAAGCAGGAAACAAATACCATTTCTTTTACAAGGCGACAGACAGCAGGATGTTTTCCTCTGCCAAAGCATCCATCAGGTTATTGGTTAAGCTGTAGCTGGTAAGGTGGGAAGGAGAAATAATTTCTCTCTCATAGAAAAAAGGTAAGTCATAAGTCTCTGACTGCCAGTGGGAGGGATGCTGAATGACAGAGGAGGCTGTTGCTTCCTCCTCCTCCTGGTCCCACAGTCTGGTGATTACTGGCTGTTAGTGCACAGACCTGTCACATTGGAGCCTGGATGTTACCAGAGTGTATTAAATCCCTTCAGGCAGACAAACTCTGGGCTGGTGTCTAATTTACAGCACTCTCCAGAATCTTTCCCTATAGATCCTCTGTCTTAGGAGGGAAGAAGAATTAATGATAAATTAATGAAGACTTTTACGTTGTTCTGAATTTGGGGATAATTTTAGGCCCATACTTAACCTTGTGATCTTTCAAGCTTTTGCCTCTTTTAATAATTACCTGCTTGTATTCCTGATGGTTAAACTTGCCATATAGAAATGTTTTATTGATGAATTCCTCAAATTCTGGTTTGACCAGAAGGCAGGAGGCCTGAACACTCTTGTGCTCATGGCTTTCAGAACTAGTGCTGAGAATTCAAGCTGTGCCAAGGGGCACTGCCCAGCCTGCAGCTGGTGGCTCTCAGCACCCAGCACAGGGTCTGTGCACATCTGGGAGGTGCTCCTGAGCAGGCACTCTTGCTGTCCTGCTTTGCTCAGGGGTGCATGTCCCCTTGATCCTTTTGCCTCCCAGAGATGCTGGTGAAGATTTTTGAGCATTTTGCCCTGTTAGCAGGAAGGAGTGGGTGAATGGCTGGGAAGCTCCCTTGGCCCCAGCCTGGCTGCTGTGCTTCTCTTACAGCTCTGTGGCTGCCCAGGCTCGGCCACAGCAGAAGTTGCATTGCCTCTGGTGTCATCTCTGGGCTCACTTTCCAGTCATCTATCAGGGAGCAGGTAGCCAGGGGTAGATTGTTGCCTGTTTTTAAAACTGCTGCCCCTGAAGAACTGCTGCCTGAATGGACAACCAGTGTGCTGGCCTTGTTCAATTGTCTGTGCTTCTCTCCATCCCTTTTATCTCCCGTTTGCATCATTTTTCTCACTTAAATGCACCCTTTCTATGGGCCACAAAGGCTGGTGTGAACACAGCCTGCAGCAAGGGGATCCTGCTGAGCTTGCAGGCAGGGGACTTCCTAGCCTGGCATGTGAAAGTGCTGGGGCTCTGGCTCACCATTACTCATCCAGCCTTCCTGGGCTGCCTTACAGCTGTCCTGGGGGTCTGCCTGTGCAGATTTCCTCACTTGCTGTGATGGCTGACTCCTTGCTCAGTGAAGTGCTTCTCAAAGATGCAACTATGCTGGGCTACTCCTGCAGGCTGGGAGACACCAAGAATGTTATTTTTCAGTCTAGCAGGTAGCTGTTTCTGTTTTTTCCCTTTTGACCTAACCCTCAAGTATCATTCTAGCTTCACACTCTCTCACCTGGCAGGAAACTTCACCAGCCTGGGCTGGTGGGACCTCAGTGCTCGAGTCAGGGCATTGTATGCCAATGTCTCTTTGCATGGGCAGCACCCCTCTTTATAGTATATTCTTCTTACCTCTCTTTTTTCCCATCTTCCTCCTTTTCTTCATCACACAAAGTGTGTAAAGCCTAAACTTACCTTTTTCCCACTGCTTTGCTTCCCCTGCTGTGGTATGCTACTGTGGGTTAGGGTCCCTTGGATGGTTCCAGCTGGCAGTAATTTGGGATATGGACATATTGGGACCTCTTAGGAAGCTGTGAGTGCTTGGGGTCCCTACTGAGAGCAGAAAGCTGAGCTGCTGGACTCGAGATGGAGCATATGCCAGGCCATGCACACACACTGGAAACTTGCCCAGGGCACGATAATTATGGGAGGCAGTGTTTCCCCAAGTGGACTGTGTGCTCTTGCTTGCTAAACAGTCTTGTGATTAGTATCTTATTTAAGAGGATTTTAGGACATGTGCTGCAGTTACACAGAGTTTCTTTCAGAAGTAGGGGAGAGGTTAGGAGTATAAACTCTGTAAAGGCTCTTTTGTGTTTCCAGCAAGGGTCACCAGGTAATTGCAGTGCATCACTGCTCTGTGTCAGAGTAGGCAGTAGGTTTTGCTATGGGTGATTGAATGGGAGAGGGATCCTTGAAGGGCTTTGCACATGTTTTTGTACAGGCTGCATTCTTAAGATCTCCTTAGAGGCCTGTAGCTCCAGCACTAAGGGTGAGTTCTTCTGCCCTGATGTCAGCATTTTCCAGCATTACTCCTAATGCCAGGAGCTTACCCTGGCTCCTGGCATTAGACTCTGGTGAGTTCTGTAGCCAGCAGGTGTTCACCAGAAGATTTTGCCTTCAAAACAAGGCTCTGTGTGGGGCTTTACTCAAGTAATGTTTCAAGGTGTCAGCAGCTCGATTGTTGGCCTTATCCAGGATACACGGTGTGGACACAGCACTAGCTGCATGCTCTGGGTGTTTCTGTGCCACTGCTGATGTGCTGGGTGGTCTTGGCTGGTGGTTGTAGTCTCCTGTCCAATGGTTTCTGATCAGTCTGATGTGGCTGTCTAACATCCTTGCCCTAATTTCTTTCCTAGGCTAGAGAACTCAATTTAAAGGGATATGGGAGCATGAAGAATTGCATGGAGAGAACAGATGTACTCTATCTCCTACAGCTCCTACCTGGCAATCTGCTGCTGCCTGGAAGGGATTGACAGGAACCTCTGTGGACAGCAAAGGAACCTGGAGATGAAGGTGATGACCATGGCTCTTAATCTGTTTTTCCCCTGCCCCTTTTATCACTTCCATGTCTGCAGCAAGAGCAGGGCTGCTGTCAGCGTGACAAGGCCACATACATTGAGGCACAGCTGTTTGCACTGGGGCTGCCTCGTGTTACAGGCAGAGCTGGAAGGATAGCAAAGAAAACAGGCAGAGTTCCCTGATACTCCCTTAGCAAATATCCTATATTTCTCTTTTAAAGCAAAATAAGACATTTATTCTTGTGGGAGCCCTTGTAGAAGCTGCCATGTATTGGCTGTGCACCAGAGATAAGCATCTGATATCTAGTGTATATTCTGACTTGCATAAAATGAATGTGTACTGGGGCTCATTTTGGTAAAGCTTTCCCTAGAAACTCTTTAGGGACATTGCCTTTGGCTCTAGGTTAGAGTAATTAGCTGCCTACTTACACAGCTGACCTCTGCTGATCATGCCTGAAGTGCTGCTGTTGGTGGTGCTGCTACTTTTCCTATCACACTTCCCTGCTGGCATCCTGCCCCTTATCACAGCACTGTGGTCCTTTGGCTGTTGCCCTTGAGGATGACGAGCATCATGTGAGCCATTGCAGTGACTGCTGCTGATGCTGGGACCTCCCTTTTTCTCTCCTGCATGGAAAAGCTAACTTGCCAGGAAGCACTTTTAGAAGCAACTGCAAATATAAGCATTGGGTTTATGGCTCTTTTAATGCGTGAAGAAGATTTGGGAGGACCTCATTGTATAGTTGCTTCTCTAAATATTTTACTTGCTGGCATCAAGAGTGCCAGCTGTTGCTCCTTACGTCCTCCTCTGCTGGAAACATGCTAATGTCCTCTTCTCCACTTAAAACCTGATCTTCAATATGGAAAATGTACCACCCTTCCTTACTTTCTGGCTGAGCAACACTTCTCTCTCCTGGTGTTGTGTTACCTTTAGCATTGCAAACTGTAACACTTGGGCAAGGGTGGTGGAGTTCCAGCAGCCTGCTTGCCTAGGGCCTGCTGGACTTCTAATCCCAAAGAGGGCAGAGAGCAGCCAAAATCTGCTCAGGGGTCAACACAGAGCAGTATGGAGCCCGGGGAACATTGGCAGGAGTGGGAACGCTCTGCTGGACGTAGGTGAGTAGAAAAGAAAAAGCATAGCCCTTTGCCTTGGGTGTCTCTGGCAGCTGCTCTTCTTGTGGGGAAAGAAGAAAACTAAGTTGGAGACAGTTTGATTTCTGGTTAGGTAGGATTTGACTGGAGAAAAAAGGATTAAACAAGCAGGTCAGCCAATCCTCTGCTGTGAAACTTCTTGTTTAGGTAGTTGTACAGAAACAAAGTTTTTCTTCCTTGTTCCTCTGTGGAAAGCTGGCTCACTGGACAAAGATGTGACTTAGGGTGTGATGGCAGGTGAGCTGCTGAGGTGGCTGGATCTCATGTGGACATGGGAGCAGTCCTCTCTGAGGCTGTGGCAGCACAGGGCACATCCACAGATAGGCAGCAGGGACTATGAAAGGCCTTGACTGGGTGCCTGCCTTTGGGACAGCTGAAACCCAAGGCCAAACTGACCTTTCAAATGGAGATAACACTTATGGGTGGAGATATTCCCTCTCTTAATAAGCATTGGTTGTACTGAAGTGTCACCTTTTGCTTGTGCCAGAACAAAATCTTGAGCCCCCTTTGAAATGCTCAGAAGTCTTCCTTGTCAAACAGTCAAACCCAGCCCTCTGTTACTAAGTCTGGTTTCAGATTAGGGAGACCTGGTTAGGCCTGGCTTGCAAGGCTGCTGGAGGAGATGGATATTTGAAAACCAGCAAAGTGATATATTTGGTCTGTAACATCTGAATCTGTGTCCAGCCTCTTCTCAGCAGTTACATTGTTGTATATGTTAATATCTGAAGTGGAAAAGGGAATTTCCTTTGAAATAGGGAAGTAAAACCAAAAATAGGCGCACAACCCTTTCATGCTGTGGCTGCGTGGGAGCCTCTGACCCCCTCCTGCTTTAGAGAGGGGCAGAGCTTGCCTGTTGGAGCAGAGGTTTGTTGTGTGTTGGGCACGGACAGGCAGAGGAGAGGATAGGGATGTGCTTTGGTGTGCTGTGTCCAGGTTTAAGAATGGTTTTCCAAGGTGGGTGTCTAGGCAAGTGGACACCAGCAACAAAGCCTTCGACCATGTATGAAATAGTTTCCCTTCAGGATAATGCGATGATGCACATGGAATGGTACTGTGTAAGATTAACAGCACAGTTAATTCTACTTGTGCTGAAGTGCAGTGTGAACCCATCTGGTTGTTTTGGCTGCAGTTTCATGTGTGTTTTGGAGGAGTCCCACCAGTACTGTCAGTTTTGGGCAGCTTTGTCAGGAGCTGCGTGTTGGTGTATGTAGCTCTGTGAACTCTTCCCACACTTCTGCCCCCTCTGTTTCTGTGTACTAGTGGCTTGTCCTCTCTCTGAGGTCCGTGCTATGGCAGGTGACACTCGTCTCACACACTGCTTTGCACTTGAAGTATTTTGTGGGACTTGTGCACAAGCTCTGAAATGCTGGGGTAAGCAGAGACCATAAGCCCAGAACAAGCACTGCATGCAGTGGATCTGGGAGAGACGGAGGGGGGTGGAAAGCTGACCAAAACTGAAGATAAAGGTTAGTGGAGGGTGAAAGGAGAGCTGGTGGTAGGATCTCACCAAGGCAGGAGGGCAGCTTCTGGCTGCACGTGGGGAAAGGCCACAAAAAATTAGGGCATCCCCTTGTGCTGTGTGGATGCTGGGAGGGATGTGAGGGGCCTTAGATTTCCCAGGGGGAAAAGGAGAGTCTCAGAGATGCAGACAGTAGGGAAGCACCCATTTCCTTGTGGGTAGCACCTCCAGCCTCCCTCCCCTGCTTCACGGAGCACGGTGCTTTCATCTGCCCTGGCGGCAGCAGCAGCACCGTGGCCGTGTCCAAGGCTCCGGGGAAGCCGGTGCCTCCAGACGAGCGTGTGGGGAATTCCTGCTTTGCTCCCCTGCTCTCACGCAAATGATTTTTCACCTCTCTGGGCCATAATCTGCCGCGATCTCTGAAAGAGCTCTGGTGTTCAGTCAGCTTTTAAAGACCTGCCAAAAATGGCATGGGAGGTTTGCTGCAAGTTTGTGAAGCACTGGTGTTTCCCCTGTTTGAGATGCCTCCAGATAATGCTGTACAGAGATCCAGACAAGATAAACAACCTATGAACTAGAGCTGGCTTACAATTTTTTGCCTTGTACTTTGGGGAAAATACCCTTAAATTGCTGTTCTAGCAGACTTCAGAAAATATTCATCAGGCGTATGCATTTTAAGTAGTGATTTCTATATTTGTTATTTTGGAGTGAGGAAGAAAAATTCAGATCTAATGCCATGTGAAAGTAATTTCCCTTGACAATATACAACTCTGGCCTATATGCATGTTGCACAGCTTAAGAAAAAGCTTTTATTTCTGAAATGTCACTGTATTATGAATGCATTATTTCTTAACTCAAAAATAGATGAGGTTATGTATGTAAATATATAAGTACATGTATTCATTACAAATGTGAGAGCACATGTTTCAGTGGAACAGAACCACTTTAGCTGAATTGGCCTGATCCTTCAAAAATAATTAGAAAAAAGCCCCAAACCAAAATAACACAAAAAGGTCAGTGAAATGCAAATTAAAAATCCTAAAATAGAGAACAGCCTAGCAAAGTTGTCATAAACTGTTTTCCTTTGCTTTAATATTAAAGTGGCTCTTCTTACATGAGGAGTTATTCTAACCAGCATACCCAGGGCTTGAGGATTCTCTACCAGTTTAGCCTCAGGGGATACAGCATGACAGCATGAGGAAGGAAACAATATTTTGTGCCTCTTGTCAGGAGATATCCAGGACTTTCTACCTTCAGATACCTGTGCAAGCTTAAAACACAGTATGGTAGCAGCCAAGTTCCCATCCTGTTAACCTGGAGGCGAGTTTGTGGAGAGGAGAGTAAGGTACATTGCTGTTAAGGATCCTTTTGGCAGGAAAAGGAAGGAAAGGGAAGATGAAGGGTCACTTGAGATCAACTCCCATGTGAGCTTCCCATCTGAAGTGCTTGAAAACTTGTCTCTTAGCAGTGTACTGGAGTGAAGGTACACAGATTTGTATAAATAAAATCAATTAGTAACTTAACCTGAAACTTGGTCTGAGGCAGATCAAGTTGTTTAATGTTCAGTAAACTTTAAGCCCCGTGCTTTTCCTGTTGGGGCTTGGATTGGATGTTGAACAGCAAAAAGAAATGGCCTTGTGTTAGAGGTGGCATCAGATCCTCTCCCAGTCCGGAGCACAGTGGGATGTTGTGGCACTGAGTGAGATCACTGCTGTGTGAAACACCCAACAGCTCTCACCCTAAAGCAGTTAGGCATGGTGTCCCCCCGGGGTGTCCTGGGAGTCACCCCAGCAGCTGGCAGCCACCACCAGCACGTGGAAAATCTCTGCTGGGTTTCTGCAGCCTCCTTGTCTGCACTGGGGTGCATCTATTCCAGGCATGACAAATGCCTGACTTCTGTGTCTGGGGAGAGTTCCCTTTATGGAGGAGGAAGTCTGGTGTCTCTGTGGCCAGGTGGCACTGGGTGGCCAGAAGGAACTTCGTGTGCTTGTGAGCAGGAGTCCAGCCCTTGGCAGTAACATCCTCCTTCCCTTCCTCGGTGTATCATCCTTCCTCACTTATCACATCCATCCTTCCAGCAAAGGGCTGGCTGCTTGTAGGAGAAGCAGAAGAGGACCTTTCATTGCTCTGAGAGGTTCAGAGAGCTTTTTTAAGTCTTGCAGCCTATTTCTGAGACTGCAGAAACATGTTGTACTAAAGGCAGTATGAGAGCCAATATTGAATGGAGGAGATATGAAAAACATCTGGTGCCTCCTTTTCTGCTTTCAGGAGTAAGTTCTGTTTTTGTTGGAGTTATCTGTCTAGATCTTGAAGTCCCATGTACACAAAATGTCTAAAATACTAGAGGGCAGAAAGCTGCCTCAAGGAGTGGGGGTGTGGTTGAGATCCATCATGGATCCATCCACTTGTCATCTGCAAGCCCTGCTGCCAGACTTGGTTCTGAAGTGCTGACTGTAGGGAGTGAGTGATGTGTTTGGGAGCAGGAGCTGGGTAGTGCTTTCCAGGCTTTAACCTGGTTTTCTGGTGCTGAAGAAAGCAAGCTAAAAACACCAGGAGGAGGTAATAAAAGACATTAAAGTGGCCATTATTGTCTTCTTGGCCTCTCAGGACCCCAGAAAGCTTTACATGTGTTTCAAGCATGGTGTTTTCCTCCCTCCAGCAGCTGTGTAGAGACTTGTGTTTCAGACCAGTTCATGCCATGCCCATAGCAACACTGATCTATCACTGGGATGCTGTCAGGGTATGAAAGTGGGGAAGAAAAAGGGAATTCTTTGGCTGTGATGTATGTACACTGTGGAGCTGCCAGATGGGTGGCATGCTCGTTTTGGGTGTTTACAGCTGGAGTTGGTGCTAGGCGTGAGAGGCACCTGTTTGTTCCTGCAAAGTGTTCTCCATGCTGGATCCTTAAGTGGAGGCCATAATCTTGGGTTTGGGTAGGAGGTACTGCTGAACCTGCTTTTCTTTCCTCAGCATCTGGGAGGATGCTGAGGAAAGAAAGTAGCAAGGAGGTTTCAAATGCAGGCTTTCTCAGGACGGTTGCATTAATGTTTCCTGTTCTTCTAAATAGGTACATGAAACTTTGAGGGTGGAGGAGTGTCTTAAGCTCTTTAAATGTCTTGAGTATTTCTAGGCACCTACTTTTGTGGTGTGCATTTGTATTGCCTATGATTTATAAAATTGAATTGTACTTAGGCAAGGTTGCTTCCCTGGCAATATTTTTTGGGCTTAATGACAGATATATTTGAAATGCTGATACAGGGGCTAGTGTTCCCAGAGAAATGTGTTTGAAAAACAGGGCAGCACTTGCTGTTACTAAAGTTCAGCCACACCAAGAGCTCCCTGTGTGAGGAGGTGACTTGATGTGCTTTGGCATAAGATATTTGACATCTCCTACTGCAGGTACTCTGACTTTTGAGAACCTGGCTGCTGCTTCAACAACAAATGACACCCAGGATCATGGGGTACATTGATTCCTGCATATCTGCTGCCTTGGCTGCTCTGCTGCAGCCTGATGCTGAGCTTGGACCTGGGCTTTCTCAACCACTTGAGTTATTCCTGGCTTTCCTCTGGTTGCTTCAGTCTTAGTTTAACCAGTGGAAATGGTGATGTGAGATAGAAGTGGTATCAATTAAGCTTTCCAATTGCTGTGATTATGGAGACTAAAATCAAGTAGTTTTGATTGTGGAAAAACATGGGGGTTTTTCCTGCCTCCTTTCTTATCAGAGACAAAATAATTAACTCTAATTTTGAAGTTTCCATTTGTCCTCCATGCTTCAAGTTCCTCGTGTAGAAAGGATTGATTTTTGATACTTTGATTTTTGCTAGATAAATAATCAAACTGCTTGTTACATTTTTGTTTTTATAATTTCTCTGGTAGTTATTTCCTTTGCTGGGTTCTAGCAGATGTCCTTTTTAGTGCTCTCTTAGTTGCCTGTTTCTCAGGTCCTGCCTTTTTTTCACCACCTGATACTTTTTGATAAGCAGTGTTCACAGCTGTAGGTGTCATTGCATACAGATTTCTTTGTGAAAGCCAATTTATTTCAAATGTAACACAGGAAGTGTGTTGCTTAACATGGAGTAGTTTGACTAGGGCTTTCTGAAGTCAATGGCAAAAACTGACACTTTGCTTCTGTCTTCCAGTGAAGTTGGTGTGGTTGAACACCGCTGTTTGTTGAGTGCCAGCCCTGCCATCCCCAACAGGGATGAACTCTGGGTATGTAGAGAAAAATGAATCTTGGTAGCTCTATTGGACTGAAAACCAGCATTGGTAGATCCAGACTTGAGCAAGTTTATTTCACTTAGTGAAAGACTAGGTATTAGGTTAAATTGAATTAGAGTCTTTGAGCAAGTCATAAAGAGTTACTGCATTGTCCTTGAGTCATAAAGATGTTGTCCCCAGCTGCAAAGGGCTGGTGTCAGATGTATTATCCAGAAGGGTACTGTCTGTAGCTGGCACACAGAGAATTTTATTGTCCTGTGGCCAAGGAACACAAGTTGTGTCTTGGCATGTGGCGATATTTGCAGAGGAGTTAGTGTTGACCTGCCACATGCTGTTAATTTAAACTAAAGAAGCATTCCCTGTTCATTTGGAAGGATGAATGCCACATGCTTGGGTGGGGAACGATTTGAAGGTGTAATGTTCCATGTAAAGCAATTGCATCCTGGTCTTTAAAGCTGGGCAGGGCAGGGGGATTTTTGCTGTTGGCTTCAGTGTGGGAAAGGCTGTGATAAAGCTGACTAATGATGAAATCCTCACTTGTAAAGCCCTGACACTGGGGCTCTGGGTATGGAAGAAACAGCAGCATTTTCAGGAGCTGGTGCTGTTCAAGCATGTACTTTTCTCCAGCTGAAGGTGAAACTGGCAGTTCCTGGCAGAAAAGATTTCTTGCTAAGAGGCATCTCCAGGTGTCTTGCTGAGTGAGCCCCCCATGGGCATGTGCCAATCAGGAAATGGCTTCTGTGTTGAGCTGTACTGAGAGCTGCCATGGTGGCCACCTGGCAACTGCATCCAGGTGGGAGCATGCTGCAGGAGAGCAGAAATGGCCCGGGGCAGGTGGGTCTTTCCTGTCCATTGCTGTTAACAAGGAATATTCAGCAGTGTCTGTCTGTGGGGTTGGAAGGGGGGCTCTGTAAGGGAGAAGTGCTGGTCCCACCAGCTGAGGGCTTGGTCCTGTTATGGAGTTCATAAACATGCAGTTCCTCTGGGAAAGAGGATGCTAAGCATGGTTCACTACATTCACTCTTTATTTGGCTCAGTGTATTTCATAACTGGAATCCATATTATCAGCCACTAAAAGCACCCTCTAAAGCAAGACTAAAATGTAAACATTTAATTAGATGAAGTGCTGATAAATCTGATATCCTGGATTTATGTGGCATCCTGTGAATCAGCAAGCAGTTTTAACTTGTAAATATTATTGTTATTATTTAGAATACTTTCAAGGTAAAACTCGAATATATGTATACCATGATTAAGGTACTAGAGCCATATAAAATACTTAGTATGTAATTATTACATGTAAAAAAGCTGCTGCCTTTTAGTGAGGGCTGAAGGGGAAGCAGAGTGCTGCTAGGCACAGCCTCCCTCCAAAAGCAACATGGCATGTAGAAAATAGCAAGGATAAAGGGCTGACACAGTCAGAAATAAAGGCTTCTGACTTATATTAATCCTAATATTTGTTGACATATAAAACTGAAATGAAACACATGCTTAAACTTACCCCTGTGCCTCCCCCCAGAATCTGCCTCCTCTGTTCTCTTGGGAAGATTTTTTTAAGCTGTGACAGCAGCATATTTTCAGTGGCACATGCAGAGGTTTTTAATGCAGGCAGGACTGACCAAATGATTTATTTCATTATAAGTGACCTGTATAGTTCCTCAATGTGTCACCTGAAATTTAACCATGTTTCTTATGTAAAATGCTTTGTTTCCCCTCGAATCTCTGTGTAAAGTTTCCTCATTCTCCCCTATTTCATTATAAGTGACCTGTATAGTTCCTCAATGTGTCACCTGAAATTTAACCATGTTTCTTATGTAAAATGCTTTGTTTCCCCTCAAATCTCTATGTAAAGTTTCCTCATTCTCCCCTATTTCATTATAAGTGACCTGTATAGTTCCTCAATGTGTCACCTGAAATTTAACCATGTTTCTTATGTAAAATGTTTTGTTTCCCCTCAAATCTCTGTGTAAAGTTTCCTCGTTCTCCCCTTTGTTTTGTTCTGTTTGATGGCATTGGAAATGCCTAAATGTATGGCTCAACAGATGTTTTGTTTTCACAGCACAGTGATATTTTGGAAAGAAACCAAGAATTGCTAGAAGCAAGCCTTCCTGCTTATGTATTTACAAAATCATGATACACACAGTTGAATTAACAGGCTGGGCTAAATCAGATATCAGAGAGATCTGAAACTTGGCTCCAGAGGGACAGTTAGCTTGGAAAATGTTTTATCACTTTTCATCTGGTGTATCCAGCATGTGGAAAGTGTAGCTTCTTCATTAGCAAAATGGCATGAGCATAGTTTGTTTATTGCTATTAAGTTTGTTATTGCTATTAAGGGTCTTGAGAAATATTTTTTCCTCAGGACAAGAATAGGAAATTTTAAGAGCAGATACAGTTTTGAGGTTACTTTTTGAATCCAGGTTTTTTCTCATTGTAGGTTGCCTTGTGTATGTTGTTTTGGGCAGAAGAATTCAAGCCATACATTTCCATGTCTTTTCCACACACATGGGAACTCATTCACCCTCTGGTACCAGCCACTGCTCTTTTCAGAGATGCTTTACAGTGGGTGTTGGGTGGAAGAAAGAGTTTACATTGAGAATGTATCCAAAAAAAGAATAAAAAGGTGTAGTTAAATATAAAATCTTCATGTAGAGCAGCATAAAAACATTCAAAAATACATCATCAAAAATTGGGAACATAGCTTTCCTACTTTGTGGGCAGACACAGTGTAATTGTGGGTGCGTGCAGATGGATATGTATAAATGAAGGAAATCTGGAAAGAAATGTAAATGCTCTAAATTTAAATATGAAATATATACCATATTATCAAAAAAAAAAAAAAAAAAAAGGAGGAACAACTTGCTAAAGTAAAAAAGTTTTTTTGCATCCACCAGAGAGAAGAAAACTGCAGCTGAATGATGCTGATATGATTGGCAGGACCAAGGAGAGGCCTGGTGTAAACCAGGTGGCTGTGATTCCTGCATATCCTGTAATCCCGAGGGGTTACATCTCTTTAAGTCATGATTTAAATTAAATTAAAGATGTTACTTGACATGGCTATGTTTGAGGGACCTCTGGTAGGATCCATTGCTTCACACCAGTAAACATAATAAAAATGACACCTGTAGAATATGTAAGAACTAATGAAGAAGTCTCATCATGTGTTTGCAGAAGGGTCACATTTCAAATCTATCTACATATTTCCTCTTCTTTCATTTTCAGAAGATCGTGAACATGGAATGAGGGATACCTTGAATTTTCAAGGTTTTGGTGAGATTGCTCACCAGGAGCCTCAAAAAAGCCACCATAAGCTGCTGTGGGATGAGAGGGTTCCTGTCATGGATTAGTGGTTGCCTAGCAGTAGGAAAGCAAGAGGTCAGGTTCCACAACATCACAGAAGGCCCTCGGGGATTTTCTGGGATCCCCGCTCTTGACTACTGACAATGGATCTGCAGAGGAGAGGAGGAAGGGCTGAGTTCTGAGCTTGGCTGCCTTTGTTGCCAAGGGGCTGCTGGAACCTGGGGAAACCCTGAGCAGCTGCAGAGGGTTCTGGTGGTCCTGGGTGGCACAGGGGCAAAGGAGCTTCTGCTGGCAGGGGTAAGTAATGCTCTTCCAGGTCTATTGATTCCTGCCCTGCACCGGGGCAGCTCGCAAAAGAACCTGGAGTCATTGCAGACTGTGTAGAGATCAGGGCTCAGGAGTGGTCAGGAGGGGAAATAAAAGGAGGAAGTTTCTCAAGGAGAACAAATCAGCCCCGTTGTTGGGCTGCTGCTGGACCATGTGGCGAGAGCGTGTTTGGCCGGTGTGCTGCCTGGGGCACGGTCACAGCCTGCTGGCTGCTGGAGGCTGAGCGTGGGCACCCGAAGTGTGGAAACGGTGCTGTGCCAGGAGGAGTTGGAACTGTCGGAACTCAAAATGTCCCTCAGACATTTTCAGAGGTTCCAAGCCTTGGTCAGAAGCATTTTAGACCCTGGCAAGCAGATGAAAACAGCTGTGATCTTGAGTTTGAACCATGGAATGAATTACCAACTTTAAAGATGGAACAAGCGGTCACAAAGAGTTAGATGGTATAGTAAAAGTAGTCACAAATTAGAGGGAAAAATTTTTTAGTATTGTACAAGGAAGTTTTAGTACCTGTACAGGGGGGTTTTACTTTGTACATGGAAGTCAAGAGTTCTAAGATAGAGGAAAGTGAGCCTGATCCTGTTCTTCCTCCTTCTTCTTCCTTACCTCCATGTTCTTGGTGATGTTGGCATTTTTCTATTGATTTAGGCTAGAGACACACTGTTCATCGTAGATGATAAATATTGGCACATTATTATAAATATAGTACACGTAGTTTCTGGTATATAATGTTTGTACCATCCCACTGAGGGCAGAGCCCCACACGCTGCCCTGCAGGACAGAGCTGCGGCAGGGCAGCAGAACATGTTAGAGATAAGCAAAAATAAACAACCTTGAAACAACACAGACGAACTATGACTTCTTCTTTGGCAACGGAGCAAAAAGACAGAGACTTTCTACAATCTCAGAATCACCAATACCCACAGATTCCGACAGGAACAAGTGGGACAGAGCCTGCAAAAGCAGAGAGGAGGGGTTGTCTGGGCACTGTGTGCAGCTGCAGTTCATTGCCACGGGCTGTTAGGGAAATGTGAGTGGTTTCAAGAGCAAATTAAACAAATCTGCAGAGGATGGGCATTGGTACAGCTGATGACACAACTTTGGGGAAGCTGTGTGCATTTCCTGGAAGAAACACATTCATACCTTTGTCCCTGCTCCTGTGGTTTGTCTGTGTACCGGCGGTTGGGCACAGTAGGAGACAGGTATGGGCTGTTTGAGATGAGGATACTTGTTAGCAATTTTCGGGTAACTCTGCTTTGGGGTGTGGAAATTGGGATTGCTGGATGTTCTCTGCTGTGGCATTGCTGGTTGCAGCTCCCTGGGCACACAGCAACCTCTGGGACACCAGAAGAGCAGGATTTTCACACTCTTGTACTTTGCTGGTTAAGACCTGAGACCAGTGAGATAATTGGACAGTAAAGGTTAAATATTAGAATGTGTGGACAAAATGTAATTCCCTGACTGCCTTGATGACGTCCCTCACTTGTTCTCTGCACAGGCTTAATTTATCCTCAGGGGACTTGCTGTGTGGGTTTAACATGCCAGCCAGTGCTGTACCCTACAGCTGTGTCAGGTTCTGGGTTTTGGGGTGACAGCTATTTGTTTAAGTCTCAGCTGTGTCAGGTTCTGGGTTTCAGGGTGGCAGCTATTTGTTTTATTTGTATTTTTTTAAGATTGGGGGATTTTTTTTTTGTCCTTTCTTTCCTCATATTCATAGCTGACACTTTGTGTTTTGTGTATGTGGGAAGCTTCCAACACATTTGGAGAAGTACCTTTCTACTGACCACTGTCAGACAGAAATGCACACAAGTAGCCACTTGTGGGCTATCCTACTTTGCCAGGTAGAGCAGATTGCTTTTCTTCTGCACAACAGAGGTTTGGTGTCAGAATGCTTGAGAGGGACCCCATCTTAGGGCACTGCTTGTGCAAATAGAAGAAACTCCTATCATGTGAAGTAATAGTAATAATTAAGCTGAATTGCAAAGTATCCATGGGGAACAGAAGGTATCTTGAAATGTTGTGGCTCTGCTAAAACATGTTTATAGAGCCTATTTTGCCAGCTTAAAAATCAAAGCAAACTAACTGTTCACATTGCAGCAGCATGTACAGTCAAAGGTGGGGAAAATTTGTGCAGAAGATGAGTTTTCCAGGTGCCCTTGAGTGGCCTGGAAAGGAGAGGAGTTGTTGTGACTTGCTGGGCATCCTGAGCTGTGCACCACCACAAGGAGTGTCTCAGCAGGAACTTGCAGAGAGCTGTAAAGGTGTTTTGCTGTAATGAACCTGCCACCCTTCTAGATCATTCAAGCATGAGAAGCAAAAGCTGATGGTTACTGAGATGTGCCTGCTACCACCTCCACCTGGAAACCCCTCAGGAAATGTTTTTGAAGTCAAAAGCAGGGCAGAGTCCTTCAGGGCCTGGAGCAAGGAGCTCTGCTCTGCAGGGTGGAAGGCTGCTGGGGCTCTGTCCCCCCTGCACAGGTCTTAGTTGGGTTTTCTGGAAGCCAGATCCTTGTAAAGGGATCCAGCGTGGATGAAGTCAGGCTGGGAGCTGTGTGAAGCAGCACGCCCAGAGGGAGCTGTCTCAGAGTTTGGTGCTAAGCTGACACTGGACAGCTCTGTCTGGGTGTTCTCTGGATTTGGAAAGCACTGCTGCGTGTGTGGTTTGCCAGCAGAGCCCTGACAGTGTGGAGGCTGGACCAGCACTGCTTTCCCCATCAGAACACGCCTTTGCATTCAGCTGCCTTCACGTGGGGCTTTTTGCTCTCCCTGGCAGCGGGCAGGCCCCGGGGGAGTTGTCCCTGTGGGGTCCCAGCTGCAGAGGGGGTGGCAGGAGGCAGCAGGGGAGGCTGAGAGCCCACAGCAGGAGAGGAACCATGAGCAGCATGGAGAACCTTACTCCTCACAGAGCACAGGCGTGCCCTGCATCCCCTCCTGGTGCCCCACCTCTCCAGACTGCTGTACCTCTCCTGGTTCAAAAAGACTTTCTAGTGCATTTGTACTTACGGAAATGGAAATTTATACAGTCTGTCAAGGTAGGGCAAATAATTTCAATAAAAGCTGGAGCTACTTGTGTTTCTTGGATCTTTTTGTTGTTGTTGGTTAAGAACAGGAACACGGCAGTATTTGCTTTTTCATTGTGGAGTGCTTTATAAAAACTAAAGTTAAATATAAGTTCTAAGCATTAGGATGCTTTAATAATTTAGTATTTAGTCTTGTAAAGGATAGCGTTTGTAATTTAGCTCATGTGGCATTGTATTGACTCAGACTTCCTGTAAAAGCAAGCTGCTTTCTTGATTTCTCAGCTGATACTGTCAAATCTCCCTTTCTCTTGCTGCATTTCCTTGGCAGAGTGAAACTGTAAAGTCTAAAACACGTTTATCTATTTTGTGAAGACTTATGGATTAAGATACGGTTTTTAAAGCAGATTTCCATGCATCTTGTTCCAAAAGAGCAGGGAGTCTTCTCTGCAGGAGTGCCTGAATTACTCAAGGTTAGGCAGTAAGATATTTCCCTGGGAAAAGTTAGCTTTTTCTTTTCCCCTGTTCATTGGGTTAAGCACCAGCATCAGATTATTTCCTTTACTGCATTTTGGGTGTATCCAGTGCTCAGAGTGGATCTGGTTGCCCTGGTGGGACCAGAGAGCAGGCAGCCCTGTGAGCTGGTGTCTGCTCTAGCTGGCAGCAGATTCAGACAAAGAAGATGCCCATTTTGAGTGGGCATTTAGGCATTTAAAATGCCTATGTGGTGTTAATATGTTTGCTGCTGTCTTTCCAGGCCTTGGTAACAGCTTCTTTGGGACCACAGGGCTTATCTGAGGCAATACTTGCTCATCCCTAGAACTTTGAGTTTTTTTCTTAACAGGTTTTCTTTTTTTTTTTCCCCAGGTATTTCTTGAACTCTTCAGCACATCACAGATCTGTTGTTTTGGGACATCCTGCTTAAGCCCCTGGAGGAAAATCTGCCAACAGCCAAAAATGACTTGAGTTGGAGAGCTGCTGCTTTATCCACAGGTAGTGTTTGTAGCTCAGTAACCTTTCTGCAGTCCAGCATGGCAGTGTTTGCTTTCAGCAGGTTACTCAGGGAGGAAGTTACTGCTTGTGCCCCTCTGGGAAGGGCAGTGATCTGCATGTGGTAGTCTCCTGAGGACACCTGGAATCTCCATACTGTTCCCATGCTTTTGGACACATCTGGAGCAGCCATGTAGGAAAACAAGCAGCTCATCTTGGTCCTGTGTGTTGCTTGTGAGGGGTTTATGCATCTGTATATTTTATACACCAGCCCCCCATAAATCAGCTTATTTTGAGCTGCTTTTTGGGCAGTGCTCCTACTGGATTCCCACTTTTATGATATGATGGGAACTGAAGGTATCTGCTAGTGTGAGGCAGTGCAGATGAGAACAGGCACTGCTGTACAACAGCATCTGGCTTTGCTTTCTCCAGAGGTAACTTACCTGGAGTAATGTTCATCCAAGTGCATTTATGAGCCCAAACATGCCCCAAACCTTACTGGGGCTTAATTAGCTTCCAGCAGGTTTTCAGCAAGGTTTGAATGCACTCAACCCACTGCAGACTTGCAGAAGGTTCCTGGAAAGTCAAAGTACCAGGCTGATGAAGCTCCTGGGGCTCATGAACTCAGAGCTTTTTTTTTTTTTTTTTCTCCTCTTTCCAGTTTTATACTTTATAATGTTTTTCATTAATGTTAAAGCCTGTGGTCAAGTAAAAACTCACTTCTGGAAGTGCCTTTATTGGCATTTGGATGTTGACTGTCAGAGATGGGAAATGAAGCAAAGCAATGTGGAGACTTACCCTGCTTGCTGGTATGATACTGGCAGCGTTAAATTTGACTGTCACTTGTGGAAGGAAGTAGAAAAGAAGTTTGAGTGGCAGTGGCCTCAGGTCACCATTACATAGCATATGATGGCTGATACCAGCTCAGGTCTTTCTGTTTGGTGTTTGAGGTGGTAGAAATGAGATCTTTGAATAGCCTGAAATTTTAGAATTACCCTGATGTTGTCTCTCTCCCTTCCCCCTGCATACAGATCTCCATGATTTTACCTGTGCATGTGCCTGCAGCCCTGACTGAGCTGTTTCCTTTTCCCAGGGCCATCTGGTGTCCCAGTGTCCCATCTGGATGCACCGTGCACTATGGTTCACATCAATGTGTTGAAAAAGTTCATGTGTGTTCTTGTGGTGGTCCTGGTAGCACTGACAGTTTGCCTGTGGAGAGAAACGAGAAGAAACTACTATGATCCTTTGAAGACCAGGAATGATGATTTGCAGGGGCACAGGAGTTTGGAGAAGTGGAACACTGTTAAATCACAAGGCCTTTTCCATGAAGCAGCCAGTGAACTGGGGCAGGTATCCAAAACGTGGCTTGGTACCCAAAACAAAGTAAAGGGCAGCACCTCTGAGACAGATGAAAAGTCCAAGAAAGCAGTCTTTGGAAAGGTATGGGATAAGGACAGTTCATCCAGAAATCTCATACCCAGGCTGCAGAAGGTCAGGAAAAACTACCTGGCCATGAACAAGTACAATGTGACTTACAACGGGAAGAGGAATGCTAAGCTCAGCCCAGAGCAGTTGCTGTGCCAGCTGCGGGACAGAGTCAATGTGACCATGATCCAGAGGTCGGATGGTCCTTTTGGTACCTCTGAGTGGCAGCAATACCTGCCAGGGAAAAGCCTCAGTGAAGCAGTGGGACACCTGGGTTGCTGTGCTGTTGTGTCCTCAGCAGGGTCTCTGAAATCATCTCGCCTGGGACAAGAGATAGGTTGGTATCTTTCAGTTTGCATAAAGTCAAATATCATTGTTCATAACTTGGGCTTAGTAGAAGCAACCTACTGTCATGCTCTTACTGACAAATCTCTTGTGATCAAAAGGTGTTTAAAACAAGTGGAAATGTTAAACTTCTAAAGTCAGTAAATATTTTAGCCTAGATGGAGATAGGAGTAATAGGTAGCTCTATTCTAGCAAGTCCTTTTGATTTTCATGATCCTTTTGGCATCAGTGGAGGCCCACATGAATATTGGATACCAGAGAGCATTCTTAGTTCCTCAGGTGTTTGTTTCTTGAGAGGGCTTGGCGTGGGTTGTGTAATGCTTATTGCACAGTCAGAAAAACATTCATACAGGAAGACATTTTCAGAGAAGAAATTAAAGAAAATGGTAAAGGGGAAAAAACCCTTCTGGACATAGCCCTGAGCAGTCTGTGCTGAGCTGAAGGCTGTGCACAGACAATCTTCAGAGGTCCCTTCCAGCCTCAGTGATTCTGTAATTCTTGCTCAAAACTTTCCAAAAGTGCTACTGCCTCTTTCTGAGCCATAAGGCAGCTGGCTGCATTTGAGTGGGCCAGAAGACCATCAAAAGACTTTACAGGGATTTATCTCTTTGTCCAAAGTTTGGTGTTGCTTTGCAATCTCATCTGACCATATTTACCTGATGTTAATGCATTCATTATTAATTGCCCATGCTTTGGTCTTTTACTGTGAATTATAAAGAAGTATGTTTTGATGCCAAAGTGTTTTGTGTCTTTACAAAAGCAGCATGCTAGGGAGACCAACTCTTCAGTCTTCAACTCAGGATTTTGTACCAGGCAGAAAATTCTTCAGAGCCTGCCGCTCCCTCAGCTTGCTTCCTTGGCATTTGGAGTTCAGTTAAGGTTCATACTATACTGAACTGTAGCTTCACTGAAGGAGAAGTTTTAAAGTCTGGGAGTTTTCTCTCAAGTGGAATGTTTTTGCAGGCTTTGGTGTATTCATAAGTTGTCTGTTAGATCAGTTTCCTTTGGCCTGCACTAAGCTGCAAATAGCCTTCATCTTCTGAAACAGGTAGATGGATAGATTTTAATGCATCGTTCATGAACAACTTTGGCAAAGCCTTCAGAATCACAGTCCCTTGTGGGATAGCATGTTGAGTTCTGGTACTTGCTCAGAAGTTCTCCCCCCGAACTCCTATGTATCCACAGGCAGATAAGCAGGAGCTAGAGTGAGGCTGAGCAGTTGGAAGTGTGTTAAAATGCTATGAAATATGTAGTGAAGAGCAGCATTGCCTCCTGGTACAAATTGCAGGTGGAGTTGGTTGATGTAATTGATTCTGTCTCTTGGGAGTGTTTGAAGTGAGATGGGTCAAGACTTGGGAAAGCAGTTCTTCCTTTTCCTTCAAGTACCTGTCTCAGGTTGTTTGGGTGCCTCTTGGAGTTCAGAGCTAAAGGTTTGCACAGAAGTGACCTTCTGTTGAACAGCCTCCCCAGCTCAGCTGGCTTATGCCCAGGGCTGTGTTAGGCTCCAGCATTACTGCCAGCGCTTGTTCCTCTGGAAGGAGCCCTCACAGGAGGGGGAGGTGATGTTCTGGAGTGTTGGAATGCAGTCCCCGCACCTCTGCATTGGGTATGGGAGCAGCCAAGGAGAATGGGCTGTGCTTTGGCACAGACGTCAGACAGGCAAAGCCCTTTCATTGTTCCCACAGCCCCTCTCTGAGCCCTCCCCACGCTGAGGCACTGGTTTGTTCCAGATCACAAGGAATGGATGCTGGGGAGGTCGCTGTGTAGTGTGCCTGTGGCAAATGCCATTAACCCTGCTGGTGTCCCTGCCCTGTGTTTCTTGTGCCTGGGTCACAAACTTTCACCCTTCTGCTCAAGCAGTTAACTCTGCTGGTGCTTCTGCAGAGTTTGACACTTGCAGCATTGAGCTAGGCAGGGAGAGTATTAAGGATTCAGCAGCATTCAGTGTATTTCTGTACTGTTTTTCCTATTTCTTCTATGCAGGAAATGTTGTGGTGGTGTTGGAGGAAGTTGTCGCAAAGGTACTAAATCTTACAAGGTTAAAATGAAGTATTTGTGTAAATGAGCATAATGGATTGCTGAGTTGTTACTCCATGAAATATTTGTTCTATGTAATCATGTTAAGATATCAAATGATCAATTAGGTAAAGTAAGGGAGTCTGGCAGAGCAGCACAGGGTTATAAACAACCACCTTTTACTGGGCTCTTGGTATTACTGAGGGTTATAAATTGCCACTGAAAAATCTGGTGTGAGAGATACCGAGTATAGCACAACCACCTGGAAGCAGAGCCAGCTACTCAGCCTGAGCAGTCACTAAACACCCTTTTAATGTGCAAACTTGGGGCATCTGAATGCTGGGTGTCTGGCTGAAGTTATGTATGGGAAATCATAACCCTGTATTGCGTTAGTGCAAGGCAGGATGTGGAGCCAAGGGTCTGCGGTGGAAACCACAGAGCGCTTCTCAGCGTGCAGATGCTATTTTCAGAAACATCACCTTTCTTGGTTTTGGATGGTGTTTTGCAAGGGCTCTTAAGAAGCTGCACTTGTCCAGGAGAATAAAACTGAAAAATCAGTCTTTGCTGCCAGGGATTACTGATCCTCCAGCATTGCTTGTTAGAACACTCCCGTTTTCAATAAAATCATCTCAAAAAGACCCAGTTCTGGAGCAGGTGGGTCCTTCTGCCCTGGAACTTGGCAAGTCCCACAGACCCTCCTGCAGGTGGTGTGCGTTGCAGTCATGTGGCCTCAGTGTGAATGCAGGAAAGATTGCTCCCCTTCTCTAACTCAGCCCCTCTGATCACAGGGAATGTTTCTTACCCAAATGTAACCACAAGGCAGGGAGGAGCCAGGGTGACAAGCACAACCTCCCTGCGTGTCACAGCAGCAGCCTGACTCCACGAGGTCACAGTGGCCTGGCTGGCTGTGCCAAGGCAGAGGAGGGTGCTGGAGGAGTGCTGTGCTATCTTAAGAGATGATGCCAGCAGAGGAGAATGCAGTGAATCCCAAGGCATGCAAGAAGCTGTGTCTGTTGAAGGCACAGCAGTGGGTTTATTTCTGTGGGAGGCATGTTGGCAGGCTGAGGTTAGCTTGACTTTCCCTTGTGGTTGGTGTGCTGGTTTCTGGAGCTGGTCAACCTCCAGGCTGGAATAGAGGATGCTGGCTTGCTACTACTTCTTAGTTTCTTAGATTGCAGCCAGCCACATCATAAATTAGTTGTCTATTGGTCTATCTCCTGGTAAGGTGTTTGGAAGGAAGAAGAGGAAAGAGCAAAGGCTAGGGTTGTCCTCTCAACCTGGCAGTTTTAGAGAATAGATTTTAAAAAGTGAATTGATCATGAAGTTTGAGCCATACCTTCCTCCAAAGAGTCTGACTTGCTACTTCTAGATGTTTGATTGAAAGGCAGGGACTAGACAGATTGTATTAGAAGTGCAGGTGAGTAGTGTCACTTCTTTGTGGTATCACTCAAACCCAGTTGTTGGCTCACAGGTTTTCCCTCTGTTTGGCTTTCAGACAGCCACGACGCCGTCTTGCGCTTCAATGGGGCTCCTGTCAGGGGCTTTCAGGATGATGTGGGGCAAAAGACAACAATTCGTCTTGTGAATTCCCAGGTAGGTCTGAGGAGTGTGCACCAAGCAGGCCAAGCATGGCAGAGCTGTGTAGCTGCACTGTCTGGGAGCTGGGAAAAACAGGGCTTTTTATCTGATTTCTCCTCTCCTTAGCACATGGCTGTAGGATGGGAATGTCTCTCCTTGGAATGGGGACAGTTGGTAAATCTGAGGTGACTTCAGTGACACTGGCATGCGCTTGCAAACTTGCAGTAGCCTGTTTGTTGTGATTTACAGCAGCCACAAAGTAACCTGGGTTTTTCTTTGCTCAAAGGCTCTGTGTAGGCACGGGAAGGCCAGCTCCATGCTGCTGCTGTGCCTTTCGAGTGAGAGGCAGGAACAGCTCAGCCAGGTCAGCAAGGAGAGGTGTGCCAAGGGATGACTTGTGCCTGCCCCAGAGATGGATATGAAGAATGTTTACATGGCTTTTAGCAAAAGAACAGTTTTTCTTTACTGCCCAGCAATGCTGCAGACTCTGTAGGTAACACATTAACCAGGGCTGCTACATGGCTGGAGACACTCAACAAAACACCCACTTCATGTAGCCTGTGCACAGCCAGGAGAGGGATCGGCCCTGGTGGGTCCAGGACCTCATTGCAGAGCGTGGCAAAAAGTGCCTTTAATGCAAGGCCTTGCTCACAGAGTTAAATCTTCCCTGCCTCTGAGAGTTCCGTGTAGCTATCAAGGTGTCCCTTTGCTGATTCCTTTTGGCCAAACTCTCCAGGGTTAGAACCATGTGCATTAGCAGAGTCAGTCTACCACTGTCCAGCAATAGAGTGAGACCCTTGCTCTTGTAGGCACATCTCAGAGTATTTGCACCTTTCCTCCTGTTACCCATCATGGTTGTCCCTTCTGGAGGGAGAAATGGTCAAGTGTAGACAAGCAGACAAAAGGGGAAATCACAGCAGAATGTGCTGGTAAGAGAATGGAGGAGGACTGAACAGGCCAGGAGTCATTTGGTTAAAAGACCTGGTGCAGCACTGCAGCACTGAATACAAGCATCTCCTCACCTCATAAGAGGAGGAGGAGGTTGTAGGCACATGAAGGCTAAGGAACTGAGTGAAGGAGAGATGAGTGGCTGAAGTGTAGCTTTTGTAAGCCTGAACCAAAAGGCAGTTTATTTTCCTTACGCTGAAGCTAAGATTTGTAGGCCTGGAGTTTTCTCACTTGCCCCTGTGTGAGGAGTGCATGCATGCTGCTGTGTAACAAGGTTTAAAGTTTCACAAAACAGCAACAGGAGCTTGACCATCCTCCTCAAAGGCAAGAAGACACAGAACTAATGTGTAACCAGTTTGCCTCCTTAATTTTGTGTGTTTTTTAAAGGATATTCTTGCTTCTTATGTGAGTGCTGTTGCTACCTCTTTCAGCTCTTGGGTCACTCTTCACTTGCTGCTGTGCTCTTTGCTGTTGCTTGCTGCATCTTGTTCCATGCATTAAGCCCCCAGTCAGAAGGGTGACAGTTTGTCCTTTCTGAACCAGTCTGGTTTGAGCAGACAGATCTGGCTGCTGCCTTCTGTGCCCTGTTTGACATTTTTCCTTTTTTTTTTAATCTTTCCTGTCTCTGTGTATTTTTCTGATGTCAGATAGGTGTTATCACTTAAGCAAACTTTCTCTGGAGGATGTGCTCATGGCCAAGCTTACAGTGATATGAAGAGAAAATATGTGCATGACCTGTGTGCTATGAGTGTTATCTGCTCAGGGAGGAGGGTAACTGTGTGGTTGTACAGCTGTGATGTGGATTCTCCTACTTTGGACCAAGTGGAGTTACAGCCATGTCATGATAGTGCTTCTGTTCTCCATGCAGATCAGCCTGCAGTCATGGGTGGTGTTCCTTCTGAGTGGAGACACCAGCTTAGGAAACTTCAGTTACAGGGAGAGCAATATTGCTGCAGTTTTTAGAGGCTAAAGTTGACTCAAAAGGCAGCATTGATCTGTCTGCTGACCAGGAAAAATGATGCTTTCCATGTGTGTAGTGCAGGAGTTTCTCATCTGGGGTTTCTAAAGTGAGCAGCTCTGACTGCACTCTGTTTGCTTCAGAGACCATTGGATTGGAAGCCTGGTTTTCTTACATGTTTTTATTTGCACTTTGAATGGTTCAGTGCTGTTCTAGTCTTGGTGACATCAGTTAAACCTTCTTGTTAGTGGGGTGGCCTGATCACATTCTCCTTTTAGCTTGCTGCAGGTGCTGTGCCTTATCTTGCCTTGCCCAGAGCTCTTAAAGGCATCAGCTACTGGACAAGCTGTAACTTGTTCTTGTTCTGGGCTGGCTTTTCTTATGTTATAACTGAGAAAAGGAATGGGTTTGGGGCTTGGCTGCTTTTATTTTGGCTCTTACTGCTGATCAATCCTCAGTCCACTGCCAAAGTGAAAGAAATAGGATCTCCTGAATCTGATCTGTCAAAGCTGGTCTGTATTGAGTAATATCCCTTTGGCACAAATGGCCAGTGGCCCTAAGTTTCTTGATAATTATTTTAAGATACTTTTCTGTAATCTGCTGGCCAGAATCTAGAACATACATGGGGTGGATGGTTTTAACTGTAGAGTGGAGTATCTTGTACATCTGTGTGCATAGAGAAAGATTAATGGATTGGTACTGACAGGAAGGCAAGAAATTTGGGACCTCCAGATCTGAGGATATGCTTGTAGACCCACAAGCTTGGTAATTTTTCTAAATAAAGAATTTATTTAACACTGCCTCATTTATTTTCTCAGGCCTTGAGTGGTTCATCACTACTGTTGATTTTTTGATGGCATGTTTTCCTGCAGTCTGACACAAGGGATTGATTTGCCTTGGGAAAGCAGAGTACCTCATTCCTCCCAGCCCTTGTTTCCAGTTCTCCTGGGCTGGCTTCTTGCTGTCACAGAGAACACTCTCTGCTTTGGCTGCCTTTGCTGTTATTGGCACTGACAGTCTGCAGGGAGGAAGAGAAAGGAGATAGCACATCAGTGGAATGGAGGAAGGCTGTGATGGGAAAGGAGAGCATGTTTAGATTGCAGGATGTTGACTGCTGCTAGCAGGAAAAAAGGAAATCATTGTGATATGGCCAATAAATGTACTGAGAGGATAGGGACTGTATTAACAAGATACTGTTACACAGTGAACTGGCTAAAGAAGAAATCAGAAAACCAATAGATCACTTAACTAATTAGGATCAAAAATCTGGGCAAGACAAGTCAGTCATGTAGTAATTTAAAAGAATTTTACTACTTAGAGTCAGTCTCTATTAAACAACAAATGGACACTGAGGGTAAATGGGGAGCCAGATTCCTTCAGCAGACAGGTTAGGTGACTGATAGCTAGCAGGCAGTGCCAAGAGCCAGCTCAGTGTGTGGGAGGACACAGCAAGCAGTGGCTGTGGAGGTGCTCCCCTCCTGGCTTCTTGTCCCTTTGCTTCTGTGCCTGTCACAGCTCTCTGGGGGTTTGTGTGCTTCTGCCAGCTCACATGGCTATGGAGACAATGCCATGAAAATAAAGTGCACGTGCTCCTTGCCATATCCCTGCCCCTTTGCGGTGCTCCATCCCACTTGTGCCCAGCTGAGGGGATGGCTGGTGCCAGCTGCTGTGCCCCTCTTTGCCCCTGGTGTCCACAGGCTGCAGGCAGATAGACCTGCAGCACTGCACGCTCCAGCTGTCAGTGACCTAGATATTTTAGCTGCTGCAAGGAAATTAAACCAGGCAGTGCACGTGGTCAAGGCCAAGGCCTAATCCCATAGAGTTAAGAACAGATGTGAGGAAACTTTTTGATTTTGGAATAATTCCCGTCTGTGCTGGCTGCAGCATCCTTGTACTCTGATTATTGGGACAGCCAAGCAGGTAGACGGCTTCTGAGGAAGCCAGGATGCTCAAGGACTAATTGGCTAGCTCATAATTAGATCTGTGGAGAAAATCAGGACAAATGGACACTGATTTTTATGATTATGATTTATGATTACAATGTTTACGACTTGTGCCTGTACAGGTTATGGCTTTGGGTGGGTGGGGAGGAACAGGAGATTAATTTGATTAGGATTGTTTTCTTTCTGCTGCAAACCTGGGTTACCCTTGGGTGTCCCGAGCAGTGGTGGTTATGTCCAGAGTATAGATAGAACTCTGTTGGAAGCTTTCCTTCTCATTGCTTCTCTCAGGAGATTCCAACCTCCCCTGCCTGAGCCATCCTTTCCCTGCTCTACAGAGGCAAGGGGGACCTTGGCATGAGGCAGGATTGGCTGGGGATGCTGTAGTCTCTCTTCTCTTGCACTGATGGTCTCAGCAGCTGAGCGCTGGCTGCCAGGGTTCCTGTTGCTGAAGAGAAACCACCCACCTGCAGGCCTTTTTTGGGGGGTTAAATGGAAGTTCTTGATAAAGCCAAGAGTGTATTTGCATTAGGCACTGCTGGGACTGTCCTGGTGACCGCTGGCAGCAGCTGCTGTTCCTCCTGCTTCTGGTGTTGTAGTGATGGGATCCTCACACAGGCTGGGTCACTCTGCACCTCCTGCCCTTAGTGTGTTATTGGAGATGGATGGAAAACCTTGGAGAGCATTATGGCAGCTGCTCTTGTGACTCTCCACCGAGTCCTTTGCTGCTAGGCAGGACTGGCTTGGGTGTTGGAAGGGCATTGCAGGGGCTGTGTCCTTGCTGCACACAGCAGGCCATGCTCAGTAACCAGCAGTGGGGTGGCTCTGGTTGTTTTCAGGTGTGTTTTATTGCTTGGCTGCCTGCTCATTCTGATAGTATACTGCATATCATTGTATCTGTTGTTTTCCCAGCTTGTAACTGTTGAAGAGCAGCAGTTCCTGAGGGAACCATTATATAACACTGGAATCTTAATTGTCTGGGATCCAGCACCATATCATGCAGAAATTCGTGAGGTAAGGCTGAGTTTTTTGTAAATAAAATCAGATTCACATGCTTTGAAGTGCTTCTGTAAACCACTTCCTCCTAAATGTGGACAATCACTCATTCCAAGGCCTTTCTTGTTTGCCTTTTTGTTTTATGGATGTATCTGTGTGTACTTCTGTGAGTATCCCATCCATGAGTGCTCCTAAGAAAACTCTTGCCTGCTTCTGAACCCTGTGAAGGGCCTCAGACCAAGGATGATGGGTCACCACCTTTACTTTCCTGTGGGCTGATGGCACAGAGAGGAGGTCACTGCTGGCTGCAGCAGTTGTCTCATTATAGGATGATTTCCTCTCTCTGACAGTTAATCTAAGACTTGCTGATGGTTGATGCTTGGATATTTCAAACAGCAGTCAGCCATGGGATATACTTGATGCATTTTGAATGGATTGGGAAACCCTCTGAAGGTCTGTGTCAGCTTTCACCTGTGGGTGTGCAATCCCTCTAGCAATTAACTTTTGATTTTGAGTACAACAAAGTGTTTTTTGATATGTGATGAGCTCTGGAGGCTCATAGTGAAAGCAGGTAGGAGTGAATAGTCCATTCTTTACTTTTATTTTAAATTCTGGTTGTAACTGAGAGGTCTTTGCCTTCCTTTCTTTGGATTGCATTTCCTATTTTCTCACTGATATTTATTTCTGTGCCAGGTCCCATGGCTCCAGGAGGCATAAGGGGCTATGGGCAGCATGTTTAAGAGTCAGTAAAACCAGGATGGGCTATTTATAACACAGGGGAAAAAAGTATCAAAGTGACTTTAGGAAAAATGTAAACAATTCCTAGCTTTTACTGAAAGGGGAAATTTAAGGATGCAAATCAGCTCAGCCTGGTTCAGGAAGCTGAGCTGGGAACACTTGCCTGCAGAATATTCTGCTTGGTATTGCAGTGTGGAGAATGATCTGGGTCTGGAACATTTAAGGCAGAGTTCTCAACATTGTCTGCTGTTGGGGAGTGCAAAATGAAATTACAAAATAGCATTACCATTCAATGGTCCTTCATTTAGATTTGGGGTTTTCCTGCTCTGTTGACTGAGTCAGCTCAGCACAGCGACCCAAGGGGACAGTGAGTGAGGGTGTATATCCCCAGCAGCAGCAGGTTCACTCATCCTTGTTTCCTGTTGGTTACAGTAGAGTGGGCCAGAAATAAAGAATCTGATCTCCTGTTTCTGTTTTGCAGTGGTACAGAAAACCAGATTACAACTTTTTTGAAAGCTATAAGGCGTATCGTAGAGCACATCCAGAGCAGCCCTTCTACATCCTGAATCCCAAAATGCAGTGGCAACTCTGGGATATTCTGCAGGAGAATTCCCTGGAGCATATTCAGCCTAATCCACCATCATCAGGAATGCTTGGTAAGATAATTGCCCTCTAAACTTCTGGTTCAGTTTGCAGGCAGGAACTCTCCAAGATGCCTTTTGTCAAAGACAACTACAAATTGATGGTGCTTATCACAGTTGTTTTTACAGTGTTTGTCCTGTGCCAAAATGTAAGCTTCCTGTCTTCAGAGCAGCAGCTCAGTTGTATTAAAGTAAGTGGTTTGCAGCACCCCTCTGAAACAGCAGTCACAAACATGGCCCAGGGCCAGGTGGAAACAGTAGAGCAGACTGCAACACTGGGACGGTCTCTAGGATTTGTAGCTTCTAGTGCCAGAGCACTTCCCACAGGGTGCAAGAGGAAGGATGTGTCTCCTGCAGGCTCAGATCTGGTCAGGCAAATAAATCTGATTACTGTAAATGAATCCTAAGGGTGTGCCTGTTTCTTTTCCATATATTATTTATATATAAATATGTGTGTGTTTTCAGCAACTTACTGGGGTTCTGTGGAAGGTCAGACTGAATAGTTGCCCTGAAAAGGTGATATGCTCTCCTCAGCAAAGGAACTCCTTTTTACATTCTGTTGTTGCAGAGGTTTTCCTGCTTAGTGGCGAGCAGCTCTCATAACCAGCTACGGAAAAGGAGTGAACCTCTGGGGAAGCTGCCATGTATTTGAAATCACAGCATAGATGTAGAGTCTTGTTTGCCATGGACAGTTCAACTGCTGTGCTTCCACCCTTTGTCTGCTTCCAGCTCTGCTCCATCATTGCTGGGGCAGAGGAACTTTCTGTCTCTGTGTAAACAGAGTTGCTTCATGTTTTTGCCAGGCCCAGCACCTATTAAATCATTGCATCATTGCTTGGATATGTGTAGAGCAGCTGTGTAACAGCACAGTCAATGACTTCAGCAGCAGAATTGTTAACTGGAATGACAAGCTTGAAGACACATGTCAAGCAGCAGTTCCTCCAGGGCTTAACTTTGGGCCAAGTCCCCTTGCTTTTTGCTTTGTAAAACAAATCACCTTGCCAAATTCAAGGGCACAGATGAGTTCCAGTTTCCATCTCTGTGTTCCCTGGAAGGCCTGAGTGTGATCAAAATTTTTCGTTTGAAAAGGTGGATGAAAACATGTTTAAAATATACTTTAGGTTCTTTTAATGTCTTACAGTTCCTCATGGTCCCTGATGTCTCAGATACTGCTTGAACTTTCTATAATGTTGCACAGTGATTCAATTTTTCTGGTGCATTCTTGCTATTTCTTGCACTTAGAAGAAAAGTAGCTGGTAACTGTGGGTTCCATCTGATCTGGCTGTGCCCAGCAGTGCCTGGTGTGATGTCCTCGGGTGAGAAGACACAGGAGGGCAGCACTGCTCTGCTCCGGGGAGCCTGAAGAGCAGAGGCTGCTCAGTGTCCCTGGGCATCTCCCAGAACAGGCCCTTCCATGTTCCCTGCACTCATGAGAGCAGCTGGGACAAATGTGAAGGTCTCATCTCTGCTTATCCAGGCAGGTTTGAGATGGGCTGTTCAGGTCAGCTAATTGCAGTGCATGCTCAGCAGACACCCAAGTTTCCATGAAGGTCACAGATAATGGTGGTACTCTTAAAAATTGTCCTTTTGGCATGGCTGTCCATGTAAACAACGTGCTGAAATCACGTTGATCATACACTTGGCAGGGGAGGGCTTCAGAAAAGAGCCCTGCCTGGCCAGACTTGTTCTCTGAACATCAACAACAGAAAGCCTTCCCCTTGGAGCTGCCTGCTCCTCTGGCATGTCCATTCTCTGGTGTGACTGGGGTGTGTGCTCTCTGTCCCCAGGCATCGTGCTGATGATGACGCTGTGTGACCAGGTGGACGTGTACGAATTCCTGCCCTCCAAGCGGCAGACAGACATCTGCCACTATTACCAGAAGTTCCACGACCACGCCTGCACCATGGGAGCTTACCACCCCCTCCTGTTTGAGAAGAACTTGGTGAAGCACATGAACCAGGGCACGGATGAGGACATCTACACTCACGGCAAAGTCACCCTGCCTGGCTTCCGAAAAGTGCATTGCTGACCGATCGGTTTTACTGTGTTTCGTTTTCCTTGACTTTCAAAGCACTTTTTAAATCAGGGTTGTCAGATTTGTTAGGTCTAAGCACTGGTGTGTTTTGACAGCTCTTCCTTGTAGCAAAGCTTGCTCTTAGGACTTTGTTGACCAACTCTGAGCTGTAAGGCTCGCTGTGGTACAACCACTGGCCTGCATGAGTCACTGCAATAAATGGACTCCCAGTGGAGCCAGGCTCTTGCAGCACACGGATACCTCTGGCTTCATCTCAGCCGATGACTGGGTAGGGGAGGCACAGGAGAGGCTTTCTAAGCAGAGATTACACAAGTCAGGATCATACAATGAACATAGTTCGGTTTGCTTCGAAGGGGTTGTGACTGCCAAAAACCTGGGCCATTGGGAAACATAAAAAGTTGTTTAAAATTTGTTCCCATAGTCAGAGGCTCTTCAGAGTAAGGATGATTTCTGGAAATGCTGTCAAGCTGTGTAATGATAAGTGAAAATTCTAGTCCAAAATATTTGATTTTATAAAGAGTTTGTGAACTTCCTTCCAAATTGTAAGACTTCTGAAACCACTCAGGTGACATTTTTGGCAAAGGAAAAGGAAAGCAATTCATATTTCAGTGAATCTTGCAAGACTTTTTAATCTTCTTACTTTTTTTAAATAATTTAAAATAAATTTTAGTAATCATTTACTTCTCCAGTACAGTGCTGGGCTTGGTACAGAAGAACCCTTATTATCAGAAAGGTTTTGGGAAGCTGCTCCAAGGCACAAATTGGAGAACACACTGGAAGTCGGTGCCTTTTTCCATCTCTCTGCTGCTCTACCTTTGCAATTGTTGATTTACTTGCTGTACCCATTAACACAAACACCACAGAGCTGCTGCTAGTTGAGTTCCAGCCCTCTGCAAGCCAACAGAGGGGATCTCTCAACTGCTGTGTGCTTTTGTGCATAGGTGGGGAGCAGGTTTGCTACTTCCATGCTTCAGGAGTGGTGGGGAGGGAGAGCGTGCTCTGCTTCTCATTCTGAAACACAGGCAGAGCTGAGAAGGGCAGCTGCTTCTGCTCCAGGGGCTCTGTGCCAGCAAAGTGGAGGGTGTAATCTCAGTGTCTTGGTGAGAATACCTTCCCTGTCTTCTGTACTTGTGTCTTTCATCAGGTCTGTTAAGAAGGCTTTCTCCTGTTTTGAATAAATCCTGTGAAGTCGTTGGCCTGATTTTGGTGAATGGTAAATGTCTTGTCCCATTGCCCTGGGGATTTGTGCCAGCCTTGTGCCACTGCGGGCACAGCTGCTCCCTGCTGGTTCAGGGAGCCCTCAGCTCGTGCCCTGCTGCTCCTGCAGCTCGGGGCTGCCTTTCTGTACACCCCTCTCTTGGTTTGGATTGGATCTGTCAGTGTTCACAAACTACATACATCTAAAAAGGTCCAGGTCCTTGCACCACTGCTCAGGAGCACCACTTTCCACTAGGACAGGAGTGCAAGGAAGGCAGCTTGGAAAGCATTCCTTTTCACTGCCAGGGGAGGAGGGAGCTTACAGAGGAAAAGCCATGAGGGGGTTGGGAGAGCCACAGTAATCCTCTTCCCATCTCCACTCTTGGGTTTTTACAGCCCTACCTCTCTGTTCCTTGGATCAAGGAGGTATCTCCCACAGCAATTTGCCTTCTTACTATGTGTTTAGTTGAGATTCAAATAGCTTCTGACTTTTTTTTCTAGGCTGTTTCATCTGTTAATTCTCACAACATTATTTTGCACCAGCTCCCCCACTGTGGAGACCAGCCCAGCCACTGTCCCTGCCCTGGGCTGTGTAATGGATGGATGGAGCACAGTCTGCCTGCTGCTCACCTGGAGGGTGAGCTCCCTGCTCCCCTGCAGGGCTCCTACAAAGAGACAAAACGTCAAACATTCTGACATCTCTCAGAACCCTCGGTTACTTAGGGGCGATGGTGTTGCACTGAGCATGAAATTTCAAATGTTATGCTAACAGTTTTAGCTACATCCAACATGTGATTCATTTACAATCTAAACAGAGTTTTACAGGAATTATGACAGAGCTTAAAATAAGCCAGTGGTAACCCTCTTGTTTTTCCTTTTTTTCTCTGCCTAGATCAAAATCTAGTATAAAGTACAAGTGATGACAAATCTGGTATTTAGAAGAGCCAGGTGTAAGTTAGTGGGCAGAAATAGCTGGATTGCAGCAAAGGTCTTGTTCTCCTGCAATCTTCACCACTTCCAGAGTGAACAACAGCTTTCTGTCAATGTAGAAAGGAGGAAAGGGGCAACACTGCCCTTTCTAGTTAACCACTGAAGGACTAAGTACTGGGAAGGATGCTCTGTAATTACATGGGAAAGCTGGAAAATTTCCAGCTGGGACCTGTTTTTACCCCTCTTTGGCTCTGCATTTTTAGAGAGCCATAGACATGGGTGGGAAGAGATTATCTGGCCAGACCAGAGGCCAGAGAAGGTGAGTGCCACTGTCAGCAGTTCATGGCTGGACAAGGAAGTATTTGGGTGATGCAGAAGGAATGACAGTATGTTACTGGCAGGGGAGCACTGGACTTTGTTGTCATTAAAGATTTTTCATTGTCTGGTCTGACAAAGCTGCCTGTGGGTTTTTGTGGTTTGCTTTCACTAAAAAAAAGGGGAGAAAAGTCCCAGAAATTCAAACTGTATGCACCTGAGTCAACATGCCCATCTTGGATGCCCTAAGAAGAATGGAGTGGGTGAGTGGGAACTCAATCTGACCAGTAAATCAACCGTGATGATTAAAGAGATACGTGGTGGCTGAAAAGAAACACGAGCTGTCCCAGCCTTTGTTGCTGTGCATGCAGGCAGCAGAAGGTGTGGGCACAGGCAGGATGGCTCATCCTCCTCTGCTCTGGGAAGTCTGACGCTCTTGCCCAGAGCTGTGGGTGTTTGATTTCACTTGTGCATTGTACCGAGGTGGCAGGCAAACTGCAGCACTCCCATCAAGGCCCAGTATGGAAGCATCAGGCTTCATTTTGGAGCACATGATTAGTGTGCATGGCTATCTGTACCCTTAGTTCCTATCCCTGTGCATTGATAGAAGAGGTGAAAGTAGGAGTTTGTGGGGTTCCCTGGTTCAGCATGGCATCACCTGCAGCTCCTGAGCTCCCTGGGAAATGCTGGGAGCAAGCTGAGACCCAGCTGGCTTTGTGCCTCACTCCTGAAGGAGCTAAGGATCCTTTTTCAAGACAGAACTTGAAAGGAAAAGGATGTGCTTATTTCTAGCTTGGTTTTGGAAGTGCAGATGAAGGTGGAATTGTGTCTCTCTCAGCTCTAAGCAAACTGCTGCTTCTCTTTTGGACCTAAACTCAGTGAGCTGCTTTACAGCCTCGTCTTGTAAAAGGTCTGGAAAATGGCCTCAGTGCACAGGAGCACTGGAGGGGAATCTGATGTCTAATGCTCAGATCCTGTCATGCACAACTCCTGTGCTATTTTGGCAGCGTGTGCAAGGCTTCTTTCAGGGGATTGTTCTAGAGTGTTGCTACCATAGCACCCTCACAGTGTCTGCACTGAGAGGGGAAGGAACCCTTCCAGGGCTTCCTTGGCACCTCTCATCTTCCACCCAACTCCTGTGAAATACTTCCCTCTTTAGTCCTTCAGCAGGTGGCTCCTGCTGCTCCTTATCCTCCAGGACATCAGCTTCTCTGCAGGGCTTTGTGTCTCCAAGTGTTGCAAGGGTTTGCATCTATGTGTTCATTTGGTTACAGTCAGCTTGTAGCTTCACGTTGTGATAAAGGGAGCCCTTAATATAAGTTGCATCTTTTGACAGCCAGGAGGATGTGAAGCTTACTGCTCTACACTGACTTGTGTTCAGGGTACAATGAAGAAGACTGATTTAGGGAGAAAATTTAAGCAATGAGTATTTGAAAAAATAAAAAACTCCTCAGGTCGAGGTATATTTTAGGAAGGTACATGGATGTTTGCAAAAGCAGAATGGAAGATGAGCAGAGAAAATCAGGCATGAGAGATGGTTTGGAAAAGTGTTTGTTTAGTGCAATTTGTGCAATAATTCTCTTAAAGCTAGAGAAGGGCAGGAGCAGAGGGAGTGGACTGAAAGTGGTTTGGCATGAGTGACTTCTGGCAGACGTTGGGTCATTTGGAGCAGAAGCAGACACTTCCCAAACCCCAGTGAGCTTGGCTTGCTGTTCCCATCCAGGTCTGAGCGTGCTGCTGGTTTTGGATGTCATTGTGCATGGAAAGCCGTGCCTATGGGAACAAAACCAACTTGGAATGTCTTTATTTCCCTTCCTGCAAATACCTTGCAGTGTTTTTCCCGCCTGGCCCTGGCATCCTTTACAAAAACAACAGCGAGGTGCTCCCATGGGCCAGCACTTGTTCTAATCTGTGGCAAACAACAGGCTCCTTGTAACAAGGGGATTAAATCAGCCAAACTTTGCTAATCCTGCTCCAGGACAGCTCTGCTGTGTATCTCCTGTTCCAGCCTCTAGTAGCTCACACGGAGCCCTCCATGTGTGCTTACCTTGTACCACTCTGGTGATGCTGAAATGCCCTGGGCCTTTTCAGGTCTATAAACCTCTGTAGCACTCGTTTCATTTCCCAAAAGAAATAAAAATCACTAATATGTGTGAAAGTAGGCTGTATTTCATTAAAAGCCAGTTTCAGGTATATCCAGCAGCATAAAAATAGGAAAATGGAATGCATGTGTATAGTTTATATATTACAAAATCACTGTTATTTATGGTGCCTGAAGTGTTACATAAACACTAATTTTAACAAGTACATGGAGGGGGAGCTTCCTTGGTTTTCTCCTGCTCAGCTGAGTGTTCCACACCCATTGAGAAATGGCAAATAGCTGCATTACCATGTAAAATACATCTAAAAAACAGAAGCTGATCGTTTGCTGGGATAAGGCACAGAAGTATCCTCCCACCAAGGAAGCTATAAATCATTGTCATGAATTGAGAATCTGTCTTCCCTCTCAGCTGCCTGTTTTTTCTTGGCTATCTTCACAGACATTATCCTACTTGATTCTTGGTTTACCAAAGTTACATTAAAGGCACACGTTTCTTAAGTAAGTGGGAGGGGTGTTTGCACTGGAATTTAGGAAAAAGTCTGAGCAAATGGTTAAGGCTGGACCTCCAGTGCCTGGGACAAAGTGCAGAGCAGTTTTTTGCTAGGGGAACAGAGTTTTATAGGGAATTTATAGGGAATTTCTGTCTTGTCCCAGGTGCCAATTTAAGGCCGTTTGTATGGGATGTGTGAACCAGGACTGAAGCCAAAGAATTTAAGGAAAACAGCAAAGAAAAATTGTTTTGTTAAGAACTGAAATGCTCAAAGCAGTTTTGACAAGAAGCAGCTTAATCTTGTTGAGCTGTCATGGCAGCTAATTTGAGTCTGACCAGGCTAATTGTGACCCATAGGTTAGACAAACTCTTCTCTTATTTTTAATAAGTTATAATTTGCATAAATAAGATATGCAATATCTTATTTGTTTTTCTTTCCTGCTTCCAGTTCTAGACCTTGTTTGTGTAGGGAGGTTGGTGAGTGACTGGGCTAATGAGATGCAGATTTGGCTTTGGCACAAGGTAATTGTGTGGGTAAGGTGTGTATTCTGGCAGCAGCCTGAGCTCCCTGTGTCCAGCTGGGTTCTGGAGGTGCCACATGTGTGGAGTGCTGTAAATGCCCCATGTCAAAACCACTGCAGCCCTGCTCAATTGGCTTTGAGAGCTGAGCCTGAGAGAGCCTGAGCTGTCTGTGAGCTCACCTCACAGCTGAGCTATTGCCTCTGAGCTTCTCTGCTGATCTCATGGGGAGGTGTGAGGTGTCCCTGTGCCCCTCAGTGCCTCCTGCTCTGGGTCATTCTACCCCCGATGGAGGTGACACAGCTGGAGCTGGCAGTGGCTGCTCTGCATCCCACAGTCTGACTGCCCTGCTGGGGAGGGGTATGTTTTCATGAACTGGGCCCACACAGTCATTGCTGGATGGACTTTTCACTGCTGGGACACTGGGGTGGGCTGGGGGTGCTCTGGGCAAACCTTCACTGCAGCAGTGCCAGCCTCTGTGCTTCTCACTAGTATGGAACTCGAGAACTTCCCTGGCTGGCAGAACCCTAAAACCATCTCTTCCCTGGCTGTGTCCTACAAGGAAGGAAGGAGGTCTCTCCAGATCCCAGTTCTTGACATGTGTAAAGCAAACAAGGGCAGAATAAGTGAGTGTGAGTGGGTCTGGGGTATGTGGGGACACCTGGGCTGGAAGCTGGGCTTTGGTGAGGCTGTGCTGCTCCAGGTTTCATGGAGAGAGTTTAATCCACCTCCTGATGCCTTCCTGCCTGTAGACACCCAAACCTGAGAGCCCTGAAGGAATTCTGACTTACTCCAGTTTTACTTTACACTTTTAGTTAATAAAGACATATAATGATGGTGCATTGTCATATGTGACAGAGAATGGAAAAAAATAGCAAATGAGTAGCCCCAGTGGTATGTGTGAACAAGGAAGTGGTGTGTCAAGAAATCAGCTATTTTTACCACTGTTTGCCATAAAATGAACAGTGCAGGAAATAATTTTAAGCTCAGTTAATTTTCAGTTCTCTTGAATCCTATTAATATTAAAGCAAAGCTTGTGTTGTCCCCTGCTCCCCCTGTTTCTGTCCAACCCTGTCACGCCAGGTGTGGCAATGGCCACGCTGGCACCAGGATTCCTGCTGCCTGGAGGAGCTGTGGCCCCCCACTGCACCTTCCCCTGCCCCAGAAAGTCTCCAAGGGCTGGAAAGGGACCTGATGGCTGTGGGTTTCTCTCGTATGAAACCTCTGTGCTTCTCCTTTCTGCAAGCCGTGTGTGTACCTGTGGTCTAATCCCATCCCTGTTCCCATCCATCCATTCCTGGGAGCAGATGGTTTCTGTAGAGCTGTGCTGGACATTTCCATAGCCTCAGCATTACATGGATGCTTTTATTCACTAATCTGCCAGTGTAAGCAGTAAAGCATCTGTGGAAAAGCTGATACACAGATTAAAAGGAGCTGAGCTATCCCATCACCTGAAGTCATGCTTTGTTTTTCTACAAAGTGAAATTTGTCAGCAGGGTTAAGTTCCCTCTGTGCCCAGCTGTCCCTGTGTGTGTGGGGAGGGATTCTTACAGGGGAGCTGTTTGGAGGAAGAAAATAAACACAGAAAAGTTCAGCCTTGTGTTTTGCTGAAGCTGGGAGTGTAAGGCTGCAAGAAGCACATTGAAGGTGAGGAGAAGGATGCAGCCATAAAGGAATTTTACAGTACTGAGTAGGAGATACCAGTATTGTACCAAGTGTGTGTGGAGCTGAGCACCATGCTGCTCTCAGCACAAGGACACTCGAAGGGCAGATTTTTTGCATCTCTGGTACAAACCCCGTGGAGGTGGATACAGCTGTTTTTGTGCCAAGTGTTTCGTTACAAAATCCCTGGACTGCAAAGCTTAGCTTAATCCCTCCAAACTCCCCAAAGCCCTTGGGAACACCTGGGTATCTTGCTTGAGGTTTTCAGTTGTGATGAAGCTGCACTTCAAAGCTCTTCCATGGATCAGCGAATGCCAAAAACACTTTATATTTTCCTTTCAAGCGGGGCTGAGCCTCCAGTGACTGCT